TGGGGCCTTTGAAGTCAGACAGTCCTAGGGTTGAAAACTGGTTCCAGTTCTTGCTCTCTCTGTTACTTCAGTCAAGTTATTTAACTATCTGATGCTCAGATTTATTATTATTATTATTATTATTATTATTATTATTTAATTCTCACCTGAGGATATTTTCCCATTGATTTTTAGAGAGAGTGGAAGAGAGAGGGAAAGGCAGAGAAATATCTATGTTAGAGAAACACATCAATTGGTTGCCTCCTGCACAACCCAGAAAAGGGCCAGGGCCGCAGAGGGACCTGCAACCGAGGTATGTGCCCTTGACCAGAATCAAACCCAGGATTCTTCAGTCTGCAGGCCTATCCACTGAGCCAAACCGGATAGGGCTCAGTTTTTTTTTTTTAAACATAAAATTGGGGATAATGAAAAACTTGATTTGATATATGGGATGATTCTCCAATCAGCTGAGCCACCTGGTCAGGGCTATACAGCAAACTTTTGGGTGGGAACCAGCCTGAATTACTTTCATAAGCCTAGAGTCTAGAACATGGAATTTAGGAATTTTTGTCTTAGATGACCACCCCCTTTTACAAAACGAATATCACTTCTTTCTTGACTTTTTTGTTTCAGTAATACATACTGATCTGTAATTCCCATAGTTGCTTATTCAGACCCACATTGCATCTACATTGATAACTCTTTGAGTACTTTCCAAATGTGAAGTGAGTGATGCAGGTAATAGGTCCCTTGTAAATTTGTCCTTTGGAGGAATTGTTAAATTAGTATAAGTCTGTTAATCATATGTTGTTTTATTTTTCCAGATGAACAGCAAGATCTTCAGGATTGCTTTCAAAGAATCGTCAATGTGAAGCATCGATCTATGGCATTGTCAAGCGCAGATAACCATTTCCATGTTTCCAAGGAGACAGCGCATCTGGGTTTCCTGCTACATCTTGGGACAGCCCTCCCCTGGCTATTCTACTGACTCCTCTTGCCTTGGTTATTGTACTGTGTATGTGAACATGCTCTTAATTCAGCACCAATAGCCTTTTGTTGTGCTTTAATGATGTTTCTGCCTTCTCGATTAGACTATGATATCCTTGAGAGCAAGGACATTTCCTTACTCTTTGCATAGTTTGCATCTGAGACACTACTTGAAATATGGTTGACAACACTGAAGGTTTTTTGATATAATTTATATTTTGTCATCACTATGTGGCAAAACATTCCCCTTCCATTGTGGTGCTCATAGAAGTGTATATGCTGGCTAGGCACCATGTGCGTGGCTTTTCTGTATCAGGTGTTTTGGAAACTTCCAGGCAGTTGTAAGATGTTGAAGGACAAGAGTTATTACTCATATTTCTATGTCATAGCACACAGTGGCTAGCACAGTTTTAAGATTACCCCATCACTTAGGACAACAATTTGTAGACTCAGTATTTTGTGTAACAACTTCAGTGTTTTTGTACTGTTGCTAATTTGCTTAAAAGTTTATTCAAAAAATCACTTGCTCGAAAACTAACTATAAAAGTAAATGCAATTAACATAAGCTAATATTGTGAGCTTTTATAAAAATACATTTTACAATGATATACAAGCACTAAATTCGATGTTTTTGCAATGTCCTAACCACTTCTTTCATGTAATCGTAACATCTCTTTGAAGAAAAGAGTTTTTCTCATTTTAAAATTTCATTTTACGGTATTATTTGATGCCAGAGCCAACAGACTGCAGTATAGGCAGTTTCCAAGTTAGTTAGGCCTCTTAGTTTGTCTAGGTTTCTTTTGCATCTCTTACTGATTTGGTTTGCCATCATTTTTATCCCCTTTTCCAGTACACACTGCTAGCCCTTCATTCCACCTGTTTTTTGCATATGAGAATGCAGAGGACAGAGACAGCTAAATTTTTAATCACTTGGAAAAGCCATCAGGGGTGGTGGTGGGGGGGAACTTCTGTGAGTGGGGAACAGAAAATAAAGGATTTTGAAGGAGAGTACTTGGGTCAGCTGCTTCTAGGAAAGCAACTTTAAGAAATTGACAAAAATGTCTAGAGGGAATTTTATGGAGTTTTGCCATGGGGTTTATGATGTCAGCACTCTTCCCCAGCTTCCTGCAATGGCCCCAGAGTGTTTTGTTTTTTGTTTTTTTGGGGTTTTTTTGCATTAGAGAGCATTTACACGGGAAAAAGATTTTAGTGTTACACCCTTCTTCATGGTACCAGTGAAATACGTTGATTGTTCCCCCAGTTCTTGCAGAATTTAAAATTACACACATCTCCCCAAATTATTAGGGGGGGTTGTAGGTGTAAATGGTACTGCAGTTGTTTCTTTTTTTTATCCTTATCTTTTAGAGAAGTGTACTGTAAATTTTACAGATAAAACGAGACACTACTGGTATTTGATTCAAAATAATCTGAGGGTGGGATAAATGAGTGTATAGATGAAACAGAATTGGCAATAAGTTGATAATTGTTGAAGATGTGTGATGGATATTTCAGAGTTCATTATGCTATTCTCTCTACTTTTGTAGATGTCTGAAAATTTCCATAATAAAAAAACGAAAAAAAAATTTTTTTCAGTCTTCAGTGTTTACTTGCAGGCTCCCCTCTATCCCTGAGATGTAAGTGGGAAAGGATGCTCAGAAGATAAATCCACAGGCTTGGTCGGTGTGGCTCAGTGGTTGAGCATCAATCCATGAACCAAGAGGTCAGTGTTCGATTCTGATCAGTGCACATGCCAGGGTTGGGGGCTTGATCCATTCTAGGGGCATGCAGGAGGCAGCCAATCAATGATTCTCTCTCATCATTGATGTTTCTTTCTCTCCCTCTCCCTTCCTCTCTCTGAAATCAATAAAAATATATTTTTTAAAAAAGAAGATAAATCCACAACCCAGTCAGACTCCTCCCCTTCTAAAACCTAAGTTTTGTTTCTGAGCTAAACATAATTGCAGACTTGCTCTTCACTTAGTGTGATTTTTTTCCCTTGGAGATCTCCTAGTTCCAAATGCAAAAAGACTTTTAGCCCCATCAGTATGCTAAAGATGACCAGAAAACTTTGAGCCCCAGTGGTGGACATAAGCTTAGGTTCCAGATGAGACAGTAACTCCTCATTCTGCAATTTATCTTTAAAATAACATTCAATTTTTTTCCTGATTATAAAATAAATCCACCAAAATAAAAATATAAATAATACATGATTCCCCCATATGCAGAATAACCAGGTTTGAAAATTAAAATATTTAGGGTGGCCCAAAAAATGTATATACATACTTTGAATAAGTATAAAAGCAGTTTTTAAAAATATATTTCATTATCAAAATTGAGTTATCAGCTGTTAAAATATGTATATATTTTTAGGACATTCTATATATGTGTGTGTATTCTAGCCTTTTTTCATTTTGAAGTATAAATATGTATAATCAAGACACAACTGGCACAAATGAGCCCCTTCCATCAGACTATTTCTAAAATCCATGGCCCCTTTTATCGTTAAGTTCACACCACACGGACCATTACAGAATTTGTGCTACTTCTATTCTGCACAAGGGCAGCAGGTATGGCACAAGACTTGGGTCTGAAATCCAGATCAAGCTCTCTGCTCACCAATTCCTGATGCAGGGCACAATTGGCCTGTTCTGTTTTTTTCCTAATTCCCACAAAAACTTTCTACTCACCAAGCACTGATGCTGGTGGGGTGTGGCTTCATCTCAGAGGGGGTGCTGCTTTAATAAACAACATGATTGCAATATATTGG